ACTTCCCATGTGAACGAAGCCTTATATTATGAAATAATGATCTGATATAAAAAAGATGTCAAACTGACCCTTTCTACGATATACTTTATCATTTTTCGTGATTATCTACCTTGGTCGGTGAAGAAGACATATAACCCCCCACCCCGGCCCACACCTATTTCAACCTGTAATATTTGAAAGTGGGTAGTCTGGCTCTTGAAATATAATCTCACTATCGCCACATCTGGTTTCTATCAAGCGCGTTCAGAGCTTGGGACAAACATATAGCTCTTCGAGCCAGGAAATCAGGGGAGGGGGAGTATATAGAGGAACATGTCTGCTCAATATGGAAATTATATATTTTTGGTTAAATTTGCTTTTTAACATTTACGAACACTATAAAATAACATTTCTCGAATTAATATCATGTCCACAGATTTCTGTAAATATCCTGAATTTAAATACTAATTTAAAATGTCAGAGACATTGATTTGTGACGGGAGAAAGAGAGAGAGGGAGAGAGAGAGATGTTAAGGGCCAATTATTGTGCTCATGCACCACCTCTCTCTTTGTTGGGAGAAACATGGCTTCTCAGATTAGGAAATCGTTTGCTTTTTTTTAGTTATTTCCATTTCACTTTTCCAAAATGCGTTAAAAACGTTTCCTTTTCATACTCATTTAATTCTTCACACATTTCTGTAAATGTTTCCAACTACAGGAGGGTGTTATAAACTAAACACATCTTGGCAATAACCCGTAGCCAGTTAGCCTGCAGAGTGATTTAGTTATTGTGATTAACATTATTGTTACTATTTTTATTATCATCAAACAGTTTTTACCTTTACTCTGCTCCACATATTAGCAATGGTGCAAAAATAGTGATACTTCTAATATCCTACAATAAAATGTTTTTCAAATATTAAATTTTATTAGATGTTTGAATACAACATTAGTAATAGAACCATATAACGGTACTGAATTGTTATGAAGACATGAAGGAAGCAGGGTGAGCAATTAAACTCGGAGTTTTGTCGGAGAGGTATATTTTTCGAGTTTCAAGCACTGCCCTGTGAAGCCAGAATTTTGTGTCCGGAGATGCCGTATCAGTTACTTTGTGACCTGACCTGACCTGCCATTTTTTCCAAAAGTGGGTCTGCGCCCTCTTTTCATCTTTCAGATCTCAGTGCTCGGGTTTGGTGGAAGCATAAAGGGAAAAAATAATTATAAGCAGTATCCTTGGGACACTGCAATTTATCTCTTTCAATTTATGCTGTGAAATATCACCCAACTAGCCTGTTGATCTCGCGAATCAACCGAATCAACCAAATGAGCGTTAATTGGGGTGTTAACTGCAATTAATTAACCCCCTCCCCTTCCCCGAACGTCATACTGGCAGGTTTCCAAATGAAGACTATACCGCAGAAAAAGTGTGGCACCCAAAAGTGAGCCAGCCAAGGACACGTTTAGGGAACACGTTTGAACACGTCATGATGGTGATTCACAGGTGTAGGACCAGAACAGTGCTTCTTGCAAACAGTTTAGAACCAAGGGACCGAATTTGATTTGAAGACTATAGAGCCGTAACAAACGGTGAGTAGCGCGTCTGACCTCATCTAGCTGTTCCCAGAGCTCTCAAGGGGCGGTGGTTTTATTGTACCACTAGCGTAGGCGCTGGCTGTACATGTTTTTAGTCCCGACCCGCATGATCCACCGGCTCCGCCACCTAGTCACCGTTACCGCTTCTCCTTCTAGGCTACAAGAGCCTGCGTACCCATCTCTACGATTTAGGTCACATATAAAGTCAACTCGGTCCACGTGCATTTTGGGCTTTGTCGGTGCTGGGGTCTAGGTGGGGCGCTCGTTGCAATGCACTTTCATCTAAAATTTGCAAAATTAAATGCTAAATATCTCCCAAACCAAAGGAAATATGGGAAAAATTTCTACAGATGTCTGACTGAAAATCATATGTGGAGATTTGAAATATGCCTTTGGATTTGACATTTGACCTTTATTTCAAGGTCAAACGGGCCAAAATTTTCTAAAAATGAGAATTTTTAGCAAAAAAATCTTTAGTTCTGGCGATTTTCAAAAACTACACAGACCTAACCTATAATATTACGGGCATGTGTTACCCTTCAGGTTATCTTTCATCTTCGTGAGTTTGAGATCAACCAGTGCATTTTCACGGGAGTAGCCATAAGGTGCTGAAACGAAAACTCTCCCTAATTCAGAAAAGGTAAATGCGTGAGACCTATTGCCCAACACTGCAGGTGGTGTCCGTTTTTTTGTTTGTTTTCCATACGGTTTACGAGTTGTGCTATATCAAAAAGTACAACTAGGTGGTGAAAATTAAGTGTGAAATTCGGTTATATGCCATAAAATTGGAATATCAGGAAAGATAACATAAGGCTTAGCGAGGGACAGACATCTTCTAGTAAAAATGACAGAATTCCATGAAATTGGAACATCGGGAATTTCTCAAAACCTCCCAATTAATATACTTCGACAAATGCGATCTTTCGATTATTCCAATTAATTTCTTCTGTACGAAATTTATGGCACACTGCTGTAACTCCAAAATTAGCGAAGATACACCCATTTTAGTCCCGTATATCTCCAAAACTTGCAGTGTTAGGTCCATAGTTACTACTGAAGCCATATACTGGTAATGTAACTGTTACTTTGAAATTTACCTTTGGCCTACTTTTCACCATGAACCGATCTTTGCAAGGTTTCCATCCCTTATATCTCCAAAATAACAGAGATTCGCCCACAGTTACTATTAAACTTTAATAGGAAGTCATATACTGGCAATGAAATTGACCTTTGACCTACTTTTCGCCATAAAACGCACTTCAGAAATTTGGATTTAACCTTTTACGTTTCCCCATGATTTTGTAATAAATGGAGAACTTTAGTGTACTGCAGTTTGTAGAGCTTGTCAAGCACAACACTGAAGGTGGTGTCCTTTTTTTGGCTTTTCCATACGAATGCGCTTAATACTCCAGCTGGTGGTACAATACCCGGAGGCGGTATCGCCTCTCTGATTGGTTTCTTAGAGTTTGGTCTGGAATAACAAGCCAGGCCTCGGTCCGAGGTTAATCGACTTCAATTTTATCGTTGTATCAATGGGCCGTTAATTATGAGAGTAATTACTACCCACAAATTGTATACATTTTAAATGTCTAAATGCAAAGTCACCCGCACAAGTAATACATAAAACATGGAGAGAAAAGACAATGACTCATAGTAACCGTGCGAAGACGGTGTGGATCGGTGATCATGTCAAATCAGTAGAAGTCTAAAATAAAGAATGTCTAGATCTTACCATAGTTGCATATCACTGCCGCAACAAAAAATATCCTTAATATAAGATCCATTACATACAGCGTTGTCGATGCACAAGAAACATCCGTTATCAATGCCTGAAGCTTACCTTGACATTACAAAGGTCGTGGACACTATCGGCGTTGCCCTACGTTACTCAGGCGGAAGTCGTAATGAATGCAGGTGAGGACTTCATAATATATAATCCGCTTGTTTTCTCGATTTGCACAATATTATATTATATTATATTATATTATATTATATTATATTATATTATATTGTAGACATTGCTTGTCTTTTTATTCTATACTTGTGAACTTAGAAATATGTTTATATATCATGCCTGTGTGACCAAGGAAGAAAAACATAAGAATCTTTAAAATATCGTTATGAACATGTATAGCTGTATCTGGTGTTAGTTGTTTCATTTGTTTCAAGCGTATTCGCGGCCGTGCGCCGTAAATGAAAGTACCTTCTACCTTCCAGCTATGCCTTGGTAACATGTTTATGCATTACGTAGGGAATACTTAATTCTTGGATTAGATATTTCTTGCTCATCGTTTTTTCTCAAGGTACATGTACGCTTGTTCGCGATGCCTTATGATGAACAACTAATGGCCAAACAATTAATTGTGTTTCAGGCATTCCCTTTAGGGTGTTCTTCCTCTTTGTAATTGCCTTGGTGAACAACGGTAGGTAGTATTTGAATATGAAAAATCACATCATTGGGGATTTAGCATTTCCCCATGGATAAGGATCAAGCAGTTTAGGTTCAGGATCATGGTATAAAAGTTCAGAGCTAGGAAACCCAGTTTTTTTCACAAGATTTTTTTTAAACATGGTCAACCATAAATGAAATTTAAGGGGGCTCCTTTTCCCTGTCATTCCTAGACCCACCGTTTTTCAGTGATAAATAAGTTATAATCAAATATTGCTAATTAATAGTCATTTTTGTAAAGAAAATTTAGTCTTCGTAACGTGATCACAGCATGAACATATCTATTCTAAATTATGAACAATTAGTTAAAGACAGGAATTCATCAAGTCATGTTCAAGTTATATTCAAAATCTTGCGAATGTCTGTCTATGAATGTGTCGGGATAAATAGTTTATCGTGCCAGTCAAAAATAATCCTTATCAATGTGTGTGTGGGAGAAGAGGTGTCATGCAATGTGTTCTACCTGGGAAACATCCCCTTTACGCACGTTTTGATAATTTATTTGGACTTCAGAGAAAGGAAAGAGTTGGGATGTCCAACTTCCACGTTAGCAAAGTGTTCCAAGCAAGATATATTTCTTGTTGTTGTCTTAAATTTGTTGTTTATGTACGCGCACAGGGTTCATGAGTTTATTTTTTGACCAATCTAGAATTGATTTTTTCAAATATTGTACTCGTTTTTTTCTTTTATTTCAGGCCAATGCCAATATCAAAATATTACACTGGGTCAGCTTCCAACGGTGAATGTTTCTGAGGGCGATTCTTTCATCTTGTGGTGCAATGTAACCAGCCATTTGTCAACATCCCAAGGGTACCAAATATTATGGAACAAGGGCACGGGTACTGATAGCCAGTGGTGCTCAGGCATATCTACTGGAAGTAATGAACAACCAAAAATATTGACCTGCGACAGACCAAATGCATATTTTAATGCTTCTGATGACTATGCTATCGGCCTTAGCATTCCATTTGCGCAAATGGAGGACAAGGCGGTATACAAGTGCGCATTTGGTTTATTAGGTGGACATTTATTCAAGGCTCCGGATGTAACAGAAGTATTTGTTGTGAGTGAGTATAGGCAGCTATCTCCATGTCAACATTTAAATAGTCTAGCCGACAGAATTGACAATGAAGGCTACCAATGTGTCTAAAACTCGACACAGCTTCGGGGACCTCCTGCTTTTTTGATGCCATTCATTTGTGATTCATGTTAAAAAGCTGATTACTTATAATTTATGCGTAAATTATCAAAGTGGGATAAATGTTTCCTTTCCAGAAATCGTAACTGCAACTGTGGTACCAACTGAAACTGCCTTATATAACAGGAACATCTGATAAATATGATTTAAAACATCATATTTTGGTAATTCCAGGAAAATTTACTCCGGGCAATACATGCTAGACAATTATTCAAGGCAAGGTCTAATTCACCATTGTGTCAGATGCATGTTTTTTCCGTATCAGTATATATATTTTCTTGATAATTGTGAGTTCACTAACAGTGCCATGAATCAAATTGCTTTCAGAGCGTCCGCCTACAACTGCTGCAGCTACTACTAAAATATCACAGAGTGAGTATATCATGCTCTAAATACATCCCCAATTATTACATTTTAATAACAAAAAAAAAGCTAAATTATTAAATCAGAGAGAATTTAATTGACATGGTAAAATAAGTTAAATAAAGATGTAAAAGTAAAAACGCCAGAGTATGGGTGCCATTTTTTTCCACAAAGAGATAAAATTTTATCCACAATGAGTCTTTCTTTAATTCTAGCTACAACGAAGGGTGCAAGTAAGAAAGAAACAGCATCTCCGAGTACCGCGGGTTTTTCCAAGGAGACAATTATCGCTGTTGGTGCCGGGGGCGGAGGAGGGGTGCTGCTGGTTACTATCATTGTTGCCGTGGTCTGTGTGAAAAAGAAAGGCAAGGGGAATTCCACTTCAGGTCTGTATTTAGTTCTTATGTAATAGACATGTATAAATATATCTATATATTTGATAGGGGTGAATGAATAATGTTTTTATACAAATGATATTTTTTCAATATTTAAAACAGTTCTTTTTACCTTTTCAGAACGCATTACAAACTTAAAAATGTAACAGGAAATGTAACCTTTAACTGTTGCGCTCCTGTTGCACTTCATATACACCTTGTTTAATGCTCAACAAGAATAGCATTGGTTCAATATTTTTGACAGAGATAGACCTCTTAATAAAGTATCAAAATGTTAATTTTAATGAAGATATATTATATTTGGACTTCGGGAACATTAACCTTCTTCTATTCATCAGATATCTACGAGATGAGATACAGGAAGAGTAACGTAAGTAGGCCCATCACTCTCACATTCATGAAATATAATCAAGCACATGTAGTAGCAATAGACGTAATTCAACAGATATGTGTTTGGTCAGGTATTATGGAAGCCAGGAGTGGCGTTTTTGTATAAATGCAATCGTTGCTGAAACTGCTATATACTATTTACATTTGACTACATTGCAGCAACATGCACATAGTGGGCTTACTTCAGATGTATTCATTGATAACATTGATGACATAAGCCTCATCCAGTCTATTGGACAGGGACATTTTGGCAAAGTCTGGAAGGCGGAAGATAAAAGACCTGATGCTGTTAGCAGGATATTAGCTGTTAAAGTTTTAAAAGGTTACTTACAATACCTATATTAAATTATATTTTTATACCAATATTATTATATTAAATTAGTAGTTTAGGAACTTCTTGACTCGTTTGATACAGTTAATAGGATCTTGATGTTTATGGTAAATGCATTAGATGTATTTCGATAGCTTAAAACTGACCTTGTTTTATAATTATTTTTTCACAGTTGAAAGACAAATTGCTTATATTTCCCTTTGTTTGAATTCAAAACACACATTGATTATTATGAGACCTTTGAAAATGGGTTACTGGCTTCATCTAGGGGACTCTGAATGCAATCAGATTAAATGACTTACACGCCCCCTCCTGGCGTTGAGTGGAAAAAACTGGTGATTATACGAAAATGATGGAAAAAAAGAGGAGTGTACGTCTGTAAATCTACTTGCTTTCAGCGAGAGTACCCGTGGGGTTACATGTACCCCTCAATAGCTAGTGAGCATTAACTCATTCCTAACGGCTAATATGATTTAAAGTTTAGCTACGAACCACTTAAAGACAAACTTTGCCAACACATTATTTAACCAGAAAGTGCCACTGAAGTTGATCAAAAAGACTTCATACAAGAAATGGACACAATGACATCATTGGTGCCACATGAGAACGTAGTGAAGCTGCTGGGTTATTCTAAAACAGGTTAGTTCAGATCAGATGGCCAATTTTCGTTTGCCATAAACTTAAACTTTATCTCGATACGTGCAGATACTTCTCGATGCCTATCTAAGAACTTTGACGTCACTGCATGCCTTTCGGGTCACCTTTGGTCGAAAATAATCTGCATTTCTTTACTTAGTTTGGGACAAAAAAAAAGAAAAATCGTAAATTTATACCTTTAACTATGAAACACTCTTTAAAACATATGTCTCAACTGAAAGTTTGGGATGTTTGATTATACCCCCGTTATACTTAATCGGAATCAGCAGGAATCAAGAAGAATGAGGCTGAATGAAGAATTAAAAAAAAACTCGCACCACATTCGGGAAAAAGTTCAAATTGACCTTAATTCTTGTAAGAGTACCGTTGGAATACTCAGAATGCGCTTGAGTTCGCCTGGAATGATAAGTGCACTTTCGGCTGTATTAGCTCTCAAATGCAGTTCGAATGTAGTTGGAAAACTAGGAATATCAATAATGCTGTCAGAAGGCAGTAAGAATATTTAGAATATATTTTGAATGGCGTACTAGTGTAGTTCAATTGCTGGCAAAATTAATATTTCAGCTCATCCGAGGCACATTCGAAACATTCTGGCGGGATTTTATACCCCCGTCAGACTAGCGGTGGAATGATTAAGAATGGCGTCGGAAATGCAATTGTGCATTCCAGGATATTTTACCCATTCTTGCGGCCGGCTCGATTTTTTGCTCAAAAACTTTTGAAGTGCATTCCAAGTGGATAATTATCGGATGGCATTTGAACAGTATTCTATAGCTAACTGCACTATGACTGCATTCTAAATATTCTCACGGCATTCCGACATTCTGATCAGTTACCATTCCAGTGGCGGTATTTATACACTCTGGGCATTGTGTTACATTCTAAACATGCTAGAAAGTAATTTTAAGTATTTTAGGTATTTCAGCTGCATTCTGTTTGAATTCTTTATAATTCAAACCATCATTGGCAGCCATACCGGGAACATTTTCACTGCATTTGAGTTCGCCTCGTATATCATTCGAGGCACCTTCTTACACACTTCAGCCTGTATTCGGCCAGCAGTAAAACCACACTCGTACGGCAATTGAATTTCATTCGGAATATTCTGACAGCATTCTAACAACATTTGCAATATTCCCTCCCGATTATGGCACGAATTTTTCAATTAATTTATTCCGGCTTATTCTGCTTGATTCCTGCTGGTTCCGGAAAAGTGTGACGGGGGCCTTAAGTCACGTGCCAGTTCGAATATCCCTCGAATGTGATCAGAATGATTCGAATGTTGCCAGAATGCCGTGAGAATATTTAAAATGCAGTCATAGTGCAGTTAGAATACTATTCAAATGCCATTCAATAATTTTCTACTTGGAATGCACTTCGAAGGTTTTTAACATTCGGGCCGACCACAAGAATGGGTAAAAATATTTGAAATGCACTCGGAATTTTTAGAATGCTCTTTGAATATCCAGAAATGCACATTCCTGCTCATTCTGCCTCTAATGTGACGGGGGTATTATGGATGATGTTTTTGTGTCAACATAAAGTACTTGTATTTGTGCTGATCTATAGAACTTAATCAGAAATGTATCCAACAAACTTCTGTGATACTGTTTTCATTTAAAACACTAAGAATATTGTTTGTTTCAGAAAATGCTTTATTTGGTGAGATTGCGATTGATGAAAATGTACTAACAAACATTAAAAACCTCATGTTCCACAGTTCCAGCTTTTATTGCCCTTGAATTTATGGCTTATGGGAGTCTGAAAACATTCTTACATAGTAGTCGCAGTGATAATATCTACGGGAACCTGCACGGTGGAAGCAATAGACTGACGTCCAGAGATCTCCTCACTTTTGCTGAACATGTGGCCAGGGGAATGTCACACGTGGCGAAGAATGGGGTAGGTAAGAGACATGCAGATCTTTGTCTTTAAGGTACATAGCAAATATTTATGTTAGTTTGTTAAGTGACACATAACAGAAAAGAAGATTTGGCATCAAGACACCACATACAAGGTGCTTATTTAGATAAAGTACCGGTACGTTGTAAATGGTTTAAAACACTTATGCCATCAAACACAGAATTTACAGCATATTTTGATTTATTAAAATTCAATTCAATATTTTCAGTTCCTGCACCGTGATCTTGCAGCTCGCAATGTCCTCGTCAGTGAGTCCCGTGTATGCAAAGTGGGAGATTTTGGTCTCGCGAGAGATGTGATTGAGAGTCGAGAGTACCTGAGTAAATTGCAGGTTTGTGAAGTGTTCATAATTCCTCTGTGAACGTATTGTCAATCACTTTCAACGTTCAGCAAGTACTTATATTTAATTAGTGCATATCTTCACTTGCACATTTGATACATAATCTTTAATTGTGTACATTTCTGCCAAAAGTGGTCGCAAGAAACGCTACTCAGCAAATGTGTTTCACGTGCAAAACAAGAAGTATACAAAAAGGATAAATAAGATTAAATATGTTTGAAGCCAAATTTGACAGACAGATTATCAATGTAGTGAAGGTCTGAAAAATGCTATCAATTATATGAACATGGTCCACATGCTTGTGCTTATGTTTGACGAGAGAATAAAAACGAATAACAAGCACCCTGCCCCCCCCCCCCTCCAAGGCTAAGGCTTTGGTTATTTTCATATAAAATATCTTTAATGTATCTTTAATGTTTTGGCTATTTTCTTAAGGTTTGAGAAATATTTAAACTGTAATATATGTACTAGTATCTTATACATCAGGGCCCCCTACCGGTGAGATGGATGGCCCCAGAGTCTCTGTCAGTCAGTGTGTACACCACAAAGAGTGACGTGTGGGCCTATGGTATACTGCTCTGGGAGATAGTAACACTAGGTTAGTTATATACCACAAAGAGTGATGTGTGGGCCTATGGTATACTGCTCTGGGAGATTGTAACACTGGGTAAGTTATATACCACAAAGAGTGACGTGTGGACCTATGGTATACTGCTGTGGGAGATAGTAACACTAGGTTAGTTATATACCACAAAGAGTGACGTGTGGGCCAATGGTATACTGCTCTGGGAGATTGTAACACTAGGAAAGTTATATACCACAAAGAGTGACGTGTGGGCCTTTGTATACTACTCTGGGAGATTGTCATTTTAGTAAGTTAAACTTGCTGTTCACTAGTTGTGAACTTATGACGTGCAGCACAAAGCATGCTAAGAAAACCACATGACTCTATGTAACCTATAATTATTTTGCAATATTTTCGTTCAAGAACATTGTTTCAGAAAAACAATTTTCCTACATGAAAATGCACTCCGCGCTGTCTATGTATAACGAAGAGTGATAGCTACATGTAGATTAAACTGTTGTAAGAGGATTACTTTCCTATTTAGGAGCAACTCCTTATCCTACCATGGTTTCAGCGAGAGATTTACTGAAAGAAATTGACCAAGGTTACAGAATGGAGAAACCAAAACACTGCACAACAGAACTGTAAGATTTTTTTACTTAAATTGCATCGTCTAGTAATCCATTAATGTATTTCAGTTTTCATAGCTAGCAAAATTTCCTTTTAATGACACTAAATTTCTGTGATGCCAATTTATTTTCATTCAAAATAAGCCTTTTGATAAGAGGAAAACATTCCACGCTGCGTGTACGTGCGTTAATAGTCATGATAGATATATAGACGTGATGTATTTTATATATAAATGGTGATCAGCCCATACAAAGCAACAGACTATACTAGTATTAGTGATATACTGAAGAAAAAAAACGAATATACGTATCTAATCCACAGTATAAATGTATTATTTATTTGTGTGTTTAGGTTTTGCTGTTTTGAAATGACTACCACAAGGATATTTCGTGTACAAGGACTCTTTTGCCAAGAGCAAAATCTCTGCATGTCTTTAAATGCAATTTGAAATGTAATTTGAAATTCCAATGCAATTTAATCGAATAATTTACAGCTTGTGTTTTGGACGTTTGATATCTACACAATATACTATAGTGAATTATTAATAATACAGGCGTATTTAAATTACAGATATCGTCTAATGACGTGGTGTTGGGAACAAGACCCCGGATGTCGTCCAACATTTGAGGACTTGGTTGTCCACCTGGAGAAATTACTGAAAGAAGAGATGACCACCCACGTCGATCTGAACCAATTCTCAGAGAACGCATACGGCAATGTTGAAAATAAGATAAAGGGAGAGAAACTGTGAAGTGTATTAATTTGTTGGATTTTTTAAAATCTACATTTCTTTGAATCTGTGTGTAGGTAAAAATAATAGGAGGCCGATAATCGTCTTTATTCCTGATAAACATTTAGTTGTTTTCTGTGTGTTACGTCAAGTTTACTGAATGAAACCCCACTGTCGCCGGACATTGACAGGATTCTACATGGCTTCGTAAATCTAATGCGGGATTGATCGGGCGTATATTTCTTCAAAATCACGTACGTGTGGATACTAATTGATATGTATCTGACGCAATACTAACTGACGCTGACTTATTAGAAATTAGAGAGAAAGAGAAAAGTGTCTATTTTTATTTTGTGTTCAGTATTTGTTTATTGCCTCCGCCAAGGAGGTTATGTTTTCACCCCTGTTTGTTTGTCTGTCTGTCTTTTTGTCATCAACATACCTCAAAAAGTTTTGGATGAATTTCGATGGAATTTTCAGGGTAGGTAAGAAATGGGTTAAATTAGAAATGATTAGTTTTGATCTGGATCAATAATCAATCAATAATCAATCATCAAAAATAAAAAAAACTAAGTTATGGAGCGATTTTGATGAAATTTTCAGGAACTGCTAGAAGTGGGCCAAGGAACAAATGATTAGCTTTTGGTGGTGATCCGAATCAATAATCAATCAATAAACAACAATCAAAAATTAAAAAACTAAATCATTATAGAATGAAAATTTAGGGGTAAAACGGCATTGGATGGAGACTTTGCTGCATTGACAGAGGCCTGCGCTCTCTGAGTGCTTTTCTAGTTAACCAATGCAAGTGATACGTTTCATACATTCTGTTTATAATCACGTTCGTAAGAATACTGTATACATGGAGATTCATTTTATATACGATTGCAATTACTAGGCTAGATTGGTAGGATGCAATTGCTGTTTTTTATTAGTCCAGGCAAATGTTGTAAAAACAAGATTAACACTTAAACTAAATTAAGCATTTATGAGAGGTATAAGCGTGATTTATTTCTTGCCATATACCGGTAATTTCCCAGTAAATTCAGTTTTAGTGTGGTAAAATGAGGATATATTTTTTTGACGTACAAATAAATGTTTTGAATTAATATTATACATATCTATTAATGAAATTATTTGAAATACAAGAAAATCAAAACAACATACTTTAAGTTATTATTATTATTATTATTATTATTATTATAGCAAATATCGATTAAAGGGATAATAACTCTTCGTATGAGATCTATATTTCACAATTAAAACATTGTGAATAACTCGTAGAAATTTAATATATTCTGTTTTACCACAAAAACGGCAGTTATAGCTATTATTCTGATATCCTTTAGACCACGTGACCTCCATTGATGGCTATACTCTGTTAAAATCTCTTAAGAGCTTTTTTAATAAAAAAACAAACTTTTTAGAAAAAAAAAAAGAAAAAAAAAAAAAAAAACAAGGAATGTAAAAATGGATTCATTAACCCCTGGTAAGTATGGGGAAATTGTTGTTAACTCCAGGAAAATTCATTTTTTGGCCAAAACGTAGAGGTATTATCCCTTTAAAGAAATAATTTGAAATATAAAATTTCTCTATTTACATTAGGTCCTTAAGCACTTTTCAAATCAATTCTAAACTAAACAGGTAAATGTCTTGTGTATAATTTAGCTATCCATGAAAAAAATACCAAGCAAATATTCATCTCATTATATTGGTCCTTATTTTGAGCAAGGGGTCATTAGGTACATCTTTCATTCTAGTCTGTATACAGCGTATCAGGAGGAATATTCTGATACAATTCAACATCTTAGTCTATTGACGTGTTCGTCATACAATCACTGTGACCCCAAGTGACCTTAGTTGGTCTTGTGACCTTAATGTGATAGATACAGCGTGGGGCACCTGCTATCTAAGCGTTGCTAAGTTAGTTGCCGTGGTTCATATCTTTTTGAAGTTGGTAACTGCAGAATATTCAATATATGCAGATAAACATATGCTAGCAGAGTGTTACCTCAGCCTGCGTCTAGTGCGTCTAATAAATAGCAAAATGAAAAATACACAAAATTAATAAAACTATTTCCCAAATTGTGTAAGACCGGCGGTGATTTCTGCTGAGAAATCTTGAGTGTTCTAGCGTAGTTTGTACGCATTTACTCTCTCTAAAGCAGTCAGAGGAAATATAGTCATTTTATCTACATTGCCTACACATGCATCAGTGCAAATTTTGTTAGGACACGGCCCGTTCCATCTGCAAAAGCGAATACGATAGAAACCGGTTTAAACATTTTAGTGAAATATGACCGACATACAAAAACACGTGAACTCTAGTTAAATCTAGAAATTATACATCGCTTTCCTAGGAGGCCATCACAGCTGCGTACTCCACTCTGTCGTCGCTGGGGTTTACGGTTAACGTTTTGGACTTAGCTGATCCTGTTCCCTTAGAGCTGGGCGACTTGGGGTTATCATGTAGTGTCAAATCCGCATAGTGGAGGTTCTCTACGTTCTTCTCAAGGGGCTGGAATGCCCGAATTCTTATACAGTCTTTCAGGCCTACCCAACTACCAGATTCGGCACCTAAGGATCCTGAATTAACCGTTATATCGGACCACACTACCCGTTTTCAAGGTGTGTGTCAGATCGTATTTCGGAGTATCATACCCCAGAACAAATTTTGTAGGACGACTGCGAGCTCATCCACGCTCGACTGAACAACCTGAAACAGTACTCTTACTTCTATTTCAGTACTCAGTTCTCTATTTCATTGTCTCTATGGGGGTATATGGGGACTTTACGACATTCGGTTTGAATGTTTTAACCACTTTTGATAGGGCTATTTTGCATTGTATTTGATTAATGTGGCAGTCTAAGGTTCATCTAGGTGGCTTTCAAATTTATGCACCCGGTTTTAAAATCATATAGCGATAAAAATACGACAATCGTTTACTATCCAATCAAGGAGACAGCCGAGCGTGGGCTCATCCTGTCGGTGTTCTGACTGATACTCCGAAATGCGATCTGACACACACCTTGAAAACGGGTAGTGTGGTCCGATATACCGGTTAATTCAGGATCCTTAGGTGCCGAGTCTGGTAGTTGGTTAGGCCTGTCTTTGGAGAACCAAGAGACGCCAAATGTAAATATTTTAAAAGTAGATTAAGCAAATAGTTTTACATGTATTTTAACAAATAGTTGGTCACATTCTTATTATGAAATAGAGGCGTGACACACACACACACACACACACACACACACACATAGTGTTTTTTACTCCATGTGCTCATTTATATTTTCATGAAAGTATCGGTAAGAGCCATATACTACTTACGTTGCTCTTCCTCTTGTCATCTGCATTCTCTGTGTTCTTTTCTAAAGACTGAAAGACCACCAACAAATGGGTATCAATATTATGTGGTATAAGCAGTACTTAATCAAAAACCACATACCTATTCCATGGCCGACTTCATAAAATGTGACTGAATATCTGTTAAATCCACGTCCACAATTATTTTACATCAGTAACAGTCGTACACTGTATTCTTACTTACGTTGCTCTTCCTATAGGTCGATCTCCTGTCATCGATATCTGATAAATAAAAAAGGGTAAATGTCCACAGAGTTCATATAATTGCCAAGGGAAATTTTACACAGCCTTATTATCCTCATTTAGGACTGTCAGTTTAATAAAATGGTCTGATTCCGTCAAAAGCATTGAACCGATGCTAATGTTGTGCATATTGTTTGTAGTCAGGTGTATATAAAAGGCAAGAAATGCGTACGGTATTTGTATTACTCAGCGAAAATACAACAGGAGCACGATAGTAAAAGATAAAGATATCACGTTTTGAAAAAGTCGAAGATTTGAAAAACTGAATAAATATTAATTGTGAAAATAGTATCCGTTTAGGCTTTTCAAACCGTTAAGCAGGTGCATATATAATGTATGAAAACAATAAACCAAACACCACCACGAGGCAACTACAGACCTGAAGTTGAATTTCCCTTGCCTTTCTTTTTCACACAGACCACTGCGACAATGATAGTAACCAGCAGCACCCCTCCTCCGCCCCCGGCACCAACAGCGATAATTGTCTCCTTGGACAAACCCGCGGTACTCGGAGACGCTGTTTCTTTCTTACTTGCACCCTTCGTTGTAGCTAGAATTAAAGAAAGCCTCATTTTCAATAAATGTATTTAACTCTTTATGATAATAAGTTGCATCCATACTCTGGCGTTTTCACTTTTACAACTTTATTTAACTCATTTTCTCTCTGATTTAATAATATAGTTTTTCTGATGTCTTTTTTTAAAGTATTAATTGGTGATGTTTTTAGAGCATGTTATACCTACTCTGCAATATTTTGGTAGTAGGCACAGTTGTAGGCGGTCGCGCTGAAAGAAATTTGATTCAAGGCACTGTTACTGAATTCACAATTACTGAATAAATGTTTTTTGACTGAACTCTTTTCATCCACCATGTGATTTAACCTTGTGTGCTGATACGGAAAAACATGTGGATGGTGATTTGGACCTTGCTTTGAAAAAATTAATTGTCTAGCATGTATTGTCTGAAGTAAATTGTCCTGGGAAATACCAAAATATCATGATATTCGGTTGTGAATCATATTTACCGGCCGTTGCTGTTGTACCTAAGGTGGTTTCAGTTAGTGCCACGGTTGTAGTAACGATTTCTGGAATGAAACATTTTGTTTCCACTTTGATAATATATGCATAAATTATTGATACTGTGATGAAAATTTAACATGTATTTTAATAACATAATACACAATATATTATAATGTGTTTGCATATAGATTTAGGTGAATGCTCGTCACAGATTATATGAAATTATTTCATGACTGTTGATGATGTTTTTCTTTATTTAGATTTTGTCATTGCCATATAAGATTAGGCAATGAAAACACCTACCTGGCATTGTTACAACGGTGTTGAATGTTGTATGCTAAACATTTGAATGAAACTAATTCCCGGTCTTCTTATTCTTAACATAGACACGAAAGTTTAGCATGTCAACACCTCCATATATGTGATCGATTGGGGTATTTTATACATTTCCAAATTACCATATGCCAGTTCGTTTTCAAACTCTGCTTAACTTTCCCCTCTATGTTGACAGGAAAACACAAATCAATTTCATCGATGAATAGTTACCATCACTTGCATTATATAATATTCTTAACAGCAAATATATAGTACATGTACAGACGTTTGATTGGCTGCAAAATGTTGTTTGATTCACAATTTGACACAAAACTGAGAATTGATTAATGCAAATGTTCTTTACCTTTCTTAATTAATAAACAAATGAATGGCACAATAAATGCAAAAGGTCCCCCAAAAGCTGTGCCCAGTTTTTCATTGTCGATTCTGTAGGCTAGACTATTTTTAAATTTTAAACATTTAAAAATGTTGACGTGCAGATAGCTGCCTATACTCACTCACAACAAATACTTCTGTTAATTCCAAAGGCTTGAATAACTTTCCACCTAATAAACCAAAGGCGCACTTGTATACCGCCATGTCCTCCATTTGCGCAAATGGAATGCTAAGACCAATAGCATAGTCATCAGAAGCATTGAAATATGCATTTGGTCTGTCGCAGGTCAATATTCTTGGTTGTTCATTACTTCCAGTAGAGATGCCTGAGCACCACTGGCTATCAGTACCCGTGCCCTTGTTCCATAATATTTGGTACCCTTGGGATGTTGACAGATTGCTGGTTACATTGCACCACAAGATGAAAGAATCGCCCTCAGAAACATTCACCGTTGGCAGCTGACGCAGTGTAATGTTTTGATCTTGGCATTGGGCTGAAATAAATGATAAATGAATGAATTGGATAATAGTCTGATTATCCTGACAATGTTAATGGGCAGACATTTGCAAGATATCAATGACAATTTAATTAATACCCGTCTTGAGCAATTATTTGTAAGAAACACTAATATCATGCTGTGAAAACGTCGTTGAGACAATATTTTCTTTACTTTTTTTTATTTACATTTTCCATGAGTTAAAAGGGCTGCATTAATTATCAACATGATGATGGCATGTATTCAGTTTCCAAGTATGAAATATTTTAGTCGTAGTAAATATGTATTATTTTCTATGACTACTGCATATTCTTTTACAACAAATATTTCATAATTAAAAAATTAAATATAGACTATTTTTCATTCAACTCAACCTTAGATATGGTGATGTGGTGACAAGCACATGTAGCAAAATCATTGGTTTTGATTTCCCCTCTATTTGTACAGAAAGACTAGAAGCGAAAACAGGAAAATTATATCTGACTGTACCCATCCTGCATATGATCTTTTTAATGTCTTACCTAGTGATTGTAGACTTTTAAGTAGTAAAGGATCCCGAGTTTTTAAAGGAGTTTTTACCCATCTGTTGTCTCTCATTTTAACAACTAAAACAACTTTATCTTAGAAACGATATTGTTATCTTATACTTTATTCACTTTACCCGAATAGCAATCCAATTTCCGTCGTTGAAATTTAATTTATATATCAATGGCTGAATAATCCCTTATCTTATCTTAAACCAGAAAGGGTTTTCAAAAGAAAAAAAAAAGAAAAAAGGTTGTGAGGTAACAAAATACCACGGTGAAATAATCTACATGTATATACCAGTTCACATATGCATGTACTTATATTACTTATCCTAAAATTACATGTAAACTCATTAGGAATATTCGTCTTTTTTCTTCTTTTGCTGTTTGTCTACATATTAAATGAGAAAAAAAAGGATGTCAATTGTATTTTAATAACTTTGGATTATATATGCATTGTAATTGTGACACCAGTGTGTTAATCAAATAATCTTAAATAACTATCAAAAGCATTACTTCTATCTCAACATTTCCCCCAATTTTCAACTGGTAAAGAGTTTTAAACATCCCACAGGGGGCAATCGTATCAATGTGTAATCACAGCAACCCTCAACTGCGCGTCTGACCTCATCTCGCTGCTACCAGAGCATTCAAGGGGGCGGTATTCATTAAGATTGGTTTTTAGAGTTTGGTCTTAAATAACAATCCAGGCCACGGTCCAAGTTTAATCGATATTGGTTCAAAATTATGGTTGTCTCAGTGAGCCGTTAAATCGGAGAGTAACAATTTCCCACAAATTGTTAATATTTTAAAATTTTAATGTAAAGTCACCTGCACATGTACATACATAAAACATGGAGAGAAAAGACAATGACTCATAGTAACCGTGCGAAGACGGTGTGGATCGGTGATCATGTCAAATCAGTAGAAGTCTAAAATAAAGAATGTCTAGATCTTACCATAGTTGTATATCACTGCCGCAACAAAAAATATCCTTAATATAAGATCCATTACATACAGCGTTGTCGATGCACAAGAAACATCCGTTATCAATGCCTGAAGCTGACCTTGACATTACAAAGGTCGTGGACACTATCAGCGTTGCCCTACGTTACTCAGGCGGAAGTCGTAATGAATGCAGGTGAGGACTTCATAATATATAATCCGTTTGTTTCCTTGGTTTCATTTGGACAATATTTTAATTGCACCAATCATATTGTAGCAATTGCTTGCCCATTTATTCTATAACTATGAACTTTGAAAAGTGTGTATATATCATGCCTGTTTAACCATGCAAGGAAGAAAAAAAACTAACTATCTTTAAAATATTAATATATACATGTATATCTGTATCTGGTGTTAATTGTTTTATTTGCTTAAAGCGTATTTGCGGCCGTGCAGACGTAAACGAAAGTACCTTTTATCCTCCAGATATACCTTGGGAGCATGTTTATGCATTACGTAAGGAATACTTAATTCTTGGGTTAGATATTTCATACTCATTGTTTATTTACAGGGTACATGTACATTTGTTCGCGATGCCTAATAATGAACAGCTAATGGTCAAACAATTAATTATGTTTCAGGCATTCCCTTTAGGGTGTTCTTCCTCTTTGCAAATGTTTTGGTGAACAGAGGTAGGTAGTATTCGAATATGAAAAATCGCATCATTGGGGAATTTAGCATTTTCCATGTATTATGGAAAAAGCGGTTTAGATTCAAGATCAAGGTTTTATTTTTGTAAGTTTTTTTCATGGCCAAACATAAATGAAACTTTAGGGGGCTCCTTAGACCCACCGTTTTTTGGGTGATTTTACAGCAACGTGTCAACATCCCAAGGCTACTAAGTATCATGGAACAAAGTAACTGGTTCCAGAATGCCAGGATGTCACTAAACTGGCCATTTTTCACTGTGTGTGCGTGTGTGTCTGTGCTAGTGAGAGAGAGAGAGAGAGAGAGAGAGGGAGATAAGGACGAGGGTGTTTTGCAACCTGTGCTATCTAGAAAAAACAGAAATAAATTTCAATCAGTTACTACTAAATAGTACACATTTCTGTATAGCAAATTGAGTGTTGGTAACGTGATCACAGCATTAACAAATTATTCGTTATTATGAACAATTGGTAAAAGACGTGTCAGGATAAATAGTTTTTCGTGACAGTCAAAAATGACCCTTTTCAATGTGTGTGTGGGAGAAGAGGTGTCATGCATTGTGTTCTACCTGGAAAACATCCCCTTTACGCTCGTTTTGATAATTTATTTGGACTTCAGAGAAAGGAAAGAGTTGGGATGTCCAACTTCCACGTTAGCAAAGTGTTCCAAGCAAGATATATTTTTGTTGTTGTCCTAATTTTTTGTTTATGTACACGCACTAGGTTTATGAGCTTATTGTTTTATCAATGTAGAATTGATTTTTTCAAATATTGTACTCGTTTTTTTTTCTTTTATTTCAGGCCAATGCCAAGATCAAAATATTACACTGCGTCAGCTTCCAACGGTGACTGTTTCTGAGGGCGATTCTTTCATCTTGTGGTGCAATGTAACCAGCCATTTGTCAACATACCAAGGGTACCAAATATTATGGAACAAGGGCACGGGTACTGATAGCCAGTGGTGCTCAGGCATCTCTACTGGAAATAATGAACAACCAAGAATATTGACCTGCGACAGACCAAATGCATATTTCAATGCTTCTGATGACTATGCTATCGGCCTTAGCATTCCATTTGCGCAAATGGAGGACATGGCGACATATAGATGCGGATTCGGTTTATTAGGTGGACATTTATTCAAGGCTCCGGATGTAACAGAAGTATTTGTTGTGAGTGAGTATAGGCAGCTATCTCCATGTCAACATTTAAATAGTCTAGCCGACAGAATCGACAATGAAGCTTACCCATATGTCTAAAACTCAACATAGCTTTTGGGACCTCGTGCTTCTTAATGCCATTCATTTGCTGTAAGTGTTAAAAAGCTGGGTGCTTATCAAGATATTTTGCATTAATATTCATTTAGATTGGATAGTCATTCAAATAATTTCATATCATCTGTGCCGAGCATTTATGTCCAGTGAATAAAAACATTGGTTATCAGTACTAATTAATATATTATGATGTGTTTTCTATTAGAAAACACATAATAATACATTGGTTAATATGTTATTAAAATGCGTCTTAATATTCATTACAGTGTCAATAATTTATGCAAAATATCAAAGTGGGAACAAAATGTTTTCATTCCAAAAATCATAACTATCACCGTGGTACCAACTGAAACTACGTTAGGTTTAACAGAAACGTCTGGTAAATATTATTTAAAACTGAATATCCTCATACTTAGGTAATTATCAGGACAAATATCTACAGAAAATACATGCTAGACAATTACTCAAGACAAAGTCTAATTCAAATAACCCATTGTGTCACATATGTGTTCTTCCCGTATAAGTACACAAGGTTTTACGGTGAACAAGGGTTCACTCAATGATGACATTTTCTTAGAAATTGTGAGTTCAGTAACAATGCTTTGAATAAAATTTTCTTCCAGAGCGTCCGCCTACAACTGCTGCTACTACCAAAATATTGCAGAGTAGGTATACCATGCTCTAAAAACATCACCAATTAATATTAGAAAAAAACATCAGAAAAACTATATTATTAAATCAGAGAGAAAATGAGTTAAATAAAGTTGTAAAAGTGAAAACGCCAGAGTATGGATGCAACTTATTATCACATAGAGCTAAATACATTTATTGAAAATGAGGCTTTCTTTAATTCTAGCTACAACGAAGGGTGCAAGTAAGAAAGAAACAGCGTCTCCGAGTACCGCGGGTTTGTCCAAGGAGACAATTATCGCTGTTGGTGCCGGGGGCGGAGGAGGGGTGCTGCTGGTTACTATCATTGTCGCAGTGGTCTGTGTGAAAAAGAAAGGCAAGGGGAATTCCACTTCAGGTTTGTACTTACTTTTTACATGTTATACATGCATAAAGCAAAATATATTTGATGAGAGTGAACGGATAATATTTTGATACAAATGACATTGTCCCAATATATGAAATGCTTCTTTTTTACTTTTCAGAACGTATTACATACTTGTTCACAGGAAATGTAACCTTTAACTATTGCGCTCTTGTTGAGTTTTTGTTAGTGTTCTTGTTATATGCTTAACAATAATAGCATTGATTGAATTACCCTGCTCTATTTATCAGATACAGATGAGAGGAGATACAGTTATAGGAAGAGAAACGTAAGTAGGCCCATCACTCTCACGTTCATGAAATATAATTAAGCACACGTAGTAGTAACGGTGTCAGGACAATCCCACCCCCCCCGGACAATCCTCCCCCCCCGGACTATTCCCCCCGGACAATCCCCCACCCGAACAATTCCCCCCCGGACGATTCCCCCCGAAGAATATATATTTGGATACTTATATAAAGTAAAGAGTACAAATCTTTTCATCCATTTTTTTAATATTTCTTAGTGTGTTGATGCAACTCGAGGATAGATAATATTAATTTTATTAAACAAATTATTTTCATGGAGTACAAGTACATAATTTTTTAAAGATAGAAGTACAGAACACTTTATTAAAACTCTGATCAAAGTATATATCCATGTAAAGGAGGATAACCCTTTGATGAATTAACTGTTACTTTTAATTGTTTTATTACTCCCCCTTGATTGAATAAGTTTTGAATCAAGGTGCATCTCTAGGGAGAGGTGGGGTAAACAGATTTTCTCGCTCATCCAGGTATCCCTTTGACTATTTGTCATTATAATTGCTTGACCACTACCCGCCGCACTAAAAATATTCATAAAATATCTGTTTACTTGGTCATCTGTTTACCCCATCTTTACCTGAAGGATAGGTGGGTTATACTCTGATTAGATATTTAATAAATCTTCCTGTACTTGTACTCAATGAAAAATGTATTTGTTATAAAATAATTTGTTTCATGATGAAGTTGTATTATCACACTAAAAATATTAATATAATGGATGAAATGTTTTAAACTTTACACTTTCTACTTTATATTTGTATATAAATATATATTTCTTGGGGGGGGGGGGTCGTCCGGGGGGGAATTGTCCTAGAATCAGTAGTAATAGACGTAATTAAACAGGTACGTGTGTTTGGTCAGGTATTATGGAAGCCAGGGGTGGAACATACGTTGAAGACTAATAGATAACTGGCTTTTTTGTATAATGCCCCTATTTCACACAGACCACGGATCCCACGAATCGCCAGGAATTGAAAAATTTCAGGAATCGTGAGGATTCGTGAGATTTTGCCAATTTTCTGGTCTAATTCGACACGCTCTACGATTCCGTTACAGTTACGATACAGGTGCGATAGTGTTACGAATATTCGTGGGATTCGGCTGGAATCGCACGAATATTGTCCAGAAATTCACTACGATTTTTTGGAATCGGGAGATCGTGGCCAAAATTTTGAATAGCTCAAAATTTTTACCACTAATTCCCGATTGATCAGGAATTGCAAGAACTGACTACGATTATATACGAATCCATTAGGATCTTCACGAACTGATTACGATTCAACCACGAATCCTGAAATTTGTCAATTCATGACCATTCATGGGGTTCGTGGTCTGTGTAAAATAGGGGCTTAAAAGCAATCGTACTGAAACTGCCACACTAATTCTGAAACACTATTTACATTTGACTACATTGCAGCAACATGTATATAGTGGGCTCACGTCAGAGGTGTTCATTCATAACATTGATGACTTAAGCCTCATCCAGTCTATTGGACAGGGTCATTTTGGCAGAGTCTGGAAGGCGGAAGATAAAAGGGCTGATGCGGTTACCACGATAATAGCTGTTAAAGTTTTGAAAGGTTATTAACAACAACAACAACAACAACACAACAACTATATATTCAATAATTAATTTAGGAAATTGTTGACCAGTTTGATACAGTTGATAGGATCTTGGTGTATATCGTACATGCATTAGATGTATCTTTATAGTTTAAAACTGACCTTGTGATACAATTATATCGTCATAGTTGAAAGACTAAAATCGCTTAGCAAAATTTTTGTGTTCTTTAAAAAAATCTGAGAATATATTATAGCAAATATAATACAATTTTAAATAATTGAAATGCATTTCTTTCTAACATTCAGTTTACGTACGTTTTTTGGTAGCCTCTCAAAGTTTTAAACCTCAAATATTGGAGACCATAATAGAGTCAGCCAAGGACACGTTTAGGGAACACGTTTGAACTCGTAATGATGGACATTTACAGGTGTAGGTCCAGTATAGAGCTTCTTGTAAACAGTTTAGAACCAAGGGACCGAACTTGATTTGAGTACCAGAAGAGAGGCTTTACAGACGTGTACGTCTGTAAATTCGATTGTTTTCAGCGGGAGTCCCCTGTGGAGTTGCCGCTCACAAACTAGCGCGCATTAAGTCATTCTTATCAGCCACTATGATTCAAAGTCTAGTTACGAACCACCGTAAGACAAACTTTCTCAACATATTCTTTAACTAGAAAGTGCCACTGAAGGTGTTCAGAAAGACTTCATACAAGAGATGGAGACAATGACATCATTGGTGCCACATGAAAACGTAGTGAAGCTGCTGGGTTATTCTAAAACAGGTTTGTTTATATCAGGTGATCAATTTTCGTTTTGCCATAACCTTAAGCTAAAATACACTTTTAAATACATGTCTCAACTGAGAGTTTGGAAAGTTTGATTATGGATGAGGTTTTTGTGTCAACATAATAACATGTTTAAGTATTTGTATTTGTGCTGATCTGTAGAACTGAATCAGAAATATATACAACAAATTTCTGTGATATTGATTTCGCTTCAAACACAGAGATATTGTTTTTTTTTTAGAAAATACTTTATTTGGTGAGATTGCAATTATATAAATGTACTTACAAACAGTGAAAACCGCATATTCCACAGCTCCAGTTTTTATTGCCCTTGAGTTTATGGCTAACGGGAGTCTGAAGACGTTCTTATGCAGTAGTCGCAGTGATAATATCTACGGGAACCTGCACGGTGGAAGCAGTAGACTGACGTCCAGAGACCTCCTCACTTTTGCTGAACATGTAGCTAAGGGAATGTCACATGTTGCTAAGTATGGGGTAGGGAAAACTGTATGATCGCTTGTACACGTATTTCTTCAATTTGTTTAAAGAAAACATAGCACACTGGTGGTCACAAGGTTTGGCTTGATTTGTCGTTATTTAGAAAATAAATTAATTACATACTTGTTAAAATACTTGTATAAATGTACATGAACATGAAAACTCAGCGATGTAGTTTACAAACAAAAATAACTTATTCTTACAAATATAAGCATCATATACCCTGTAGCCATCATGGCGCATATACATCAAATACTAGAAAAGCACTCAGAGAGCGCAGACGTCCGTCAAGGCAGCAAAGTCTCCATCCAATGCCGTTTCACCCCTAAATTTTCGATATTTTTTATTATAGATTATTGATTGATTTTTGATCCAGATCACCACCAAAAATTAATCATCTGTTTCTTGGCCCACTTCTGACAGTTCCTGAAAATGTCATCAAAATTGGTCCATAACTCTTTGAGTTATGTTAATGACAGACAGACAGACAGACGAACGGACGATCAAACAGACAAACAGGGGTAGAACATAACATCCTTGGCGGAGGCAATAATTCTGCATCTTTACTTAATGCTGCGAGTGAAAATGGCAATCACAAAACTTTGAATATCTATCAATATCCGTATCAAACACAATATTGATATTATGTTCTGTTCCTTTCAGTTTCTTCACCGTGATCTTGCTGCCCGCAATGTCCTCGTCAGTGAGTCCCTTGTGTGCAAAGTGGCAGATTTTGGACTCGCGAGAGATGTGATTGAGAGTCGAGAGTACCTGAGTAAATTGCAGGTGCGTGAAATATTTATATCTCTGAACTTGTCATTCGTTGGGTACATTTCTACGTGCAGGTATGTACTGCAAGCCAGTTAAGATCTGCTCTCCGTTTAAAAGTGCAATATTGTTTATTTGTCTGTCATCTATGTCAAATGTTTAAATTTTATAAAACAATCAGTCAAAATTTTCCGGGGGATACGTGTATCATTTTGTGGCTATTTTCCTGGTCTTGGCGATATAGCTGTAACAATGTACATTATAATATACATTGTATGTACAATAAATATTGTATACACTAGGGCCCCCTACCGGTGAGATGGATGGCCCCAGAGTCTCTGTCAGACAGTTTGTACACCACAAAGAGTGACGTGTGGGCCTATGGTATACTGCTCTGGGAGATTGTAACCCTGGGTAAGTTATACACCACAAGGAGTGACGTGTGGGCCTATGGTATACTGCTCTGGGAGATTGTAACCCTGGGTAAGTTATACACCACAAGGAGTGACGTGTGGGCCTATGGAATACTGCTCTGGGAGATTTTCACTTTAGGTTATTGAACGTGTGGTAGCGTCAACCAAACTGCAGATGGTAGCTTAACACAAAGCCTCGGTCACAACCGGACGCACGGATTATAGGATCGTGCGTCCCCTGCGAATTTTGTGTGCAGTAGAATCCGTGGGGATCGTAGAGGTAGAGAAAACTCTGCCTTTCGAATCGCAAGGGCCAATTGAGATGTCATTTCAAGCAGGATCGCTAATTGCAAGGTGCGATGACCGTGGAAATTGTACTCATTCCTTGAGTTTGTCTTACTACCTGCGTACGTGGCACGCACTCACCACTATTGAAGAGAATGCAACGCACGGCGAAAGTAGTTCCCTTTTGCTTCACACTTGCCTCACACACTTGTGATGACGTACTGACCGCGTACAACAGTTTTGTCTACTGTTCTCCCCTTCTTTCTTCCTTCTGTTCCGCTCTCTAAGTTTCTTTTTCCTGCTTTTTGGAGGCATATTAGAAATTGAATTAAGCAAAATTCGAAAATTTTGAAAATTGTTGTACAGGTTGCACAATCGTCGTTAATTGTCTAGACACGAGAGTGCGTCATGAGTACAACTTTATAATCCTGGCGTAGGTGTGACGCGCTTCCGCTGTGCTTTCGACTTGTTCGTTAGTTGTGAGAGCGTGTGCCTTACTCAACACGCAAAAGGCACTTGCTCCTTCATTGCTTGCGACATGCGTCTTGGACCACGCACGTCTCACTTGTGATCTTTTTGCGAACTCCTTGCGAGTGAAGCAAATTACTATAGTACCGCTATTTCGCCTGTACTATTAATAAAGAACATACATCTTTTGGGAAGCCTAAAAGATTTATTCGTATATTCTTATTTTCCAGTTACAATGTATTCTCTTTTATCCTATAGAGCGTCATTCCAATGTCATGATGTATCACAAAGTCTTTCTCCAACATTACCTTATTTGGTAATGTAATAATTCCTCAGTTGTTACACAATGTCAATGATTATCCATTTTTCCATAACTTTCCATCATTACGTCATTACTTAAATGTAATCATTCTCTTATTAGGCAATGATACGATACTTGACCTTAGGTCGCAATTTCTATTAATACAGATTTTTCATTATATCATCCTGAAGGAATGATAACTATACACCCTTATTCTTTTTTATTATTGGACAACACATGCACTCTTTAACTCTTTTACTTATACACTGTTTAACCTCTTAACAAATGTTAATTATATCAGTTATTAAATGTACAATATATCTCACTACAATGACAACTTTATATCTGTACTTTTAATCATTTTCATCACGATATTACGTTTGCGGCCTTGCTGTTCGCAGATTATTCGTAGAATCTTTTGGACATGTCCAACATCCTCCGTACGTGCATACGGGCTGTCTGCGAACTCCAAATTTCTCAAGAGGGACTTGCTTTGCACGTGCGATTCTGCACAAAATTTGGACGCAAACAGGCCGTAAGAGCCCGTTCGGCCGGTTGTGACCGAGACTTAAGTTAAACACGGTCTGTTAATGATTTCTTGTTGTGTGAACTTGTTGCAATTGTTTTGTGTTGTTGTTAACGCTTCAGCAATGTCTTCAGCAACATCAGAACTGCATTTATATATGCTTCAGCAATCAAAAAAAAAAAAAAAAAAAAAAAAAAAAAAAAAAAAAAAACGGAGAGAGAGAAAACGACGTGCAGCACAAAATATGGAATGTCACGCACATGGTCGCACTTATGTTTCTTAAATATTTCCTTTTTAGTATATTGTTTCAGCAAAATCATAAATCTAGGTCACGCTTACACTTTCAAATGACATCATTTTTATAAATAAAAATGTTAAATTGATATTCAGGAGCGACACCTTACCCCACCATGGTTTCAGCGAGAGATTTACTGAAAGAAATTGACCAAGGTTACAGAATGGAGAAACCAAAACACTGTACACCGGAATTGTAAGCTATCACTTTGTTTTTTTTTAGTATTCATTCAATGGTTTATTGTGCCCGTTTCTGTTTTAAAAACGATAGTACACGTTTTTAAATGTATGTTACACAAATTATTGCCATTCTATGTAAATTATCTATCGAATCTATATGTATCATTTCAACCATGTATTCATGTCAAAAAGTGGATGTAATATTTACACTGACATGGTATATTCGGCAAAAAGTAACAATGCACAGTGTATATAAATGATGTAGTACACAGAGAATGGAATTTTATACTGATATCTAATTTGTAAAATATATGTTATGTTATAGCTATTCATTCAGGGGCAAGACTTAAAACAGTTTATAGCGTTGGATATAATGTGAAATTCTATTATATTAGATGACCATGAATAACATTAATATTTGTGTTTTTAAGATAGAAAGTTTGAGATGTGTTTAACCACCTAACAAAGATAAATAATCTTACAGATACCGTCTCATGACGTGGTGTTGGGAACGAGATCCCGGACGTCGTCCGACATTTGAGGAGTTGGTTGTCCACCTGGAAAAATTACTGAGAGAAGAGGTGACCACTCACGTCGATCTGAACCAGTTGTCTGAGAACGCCTATGGCAACATTGAGAACAGGATAAAGGGAGAGAAACTGTGAAGTGGATTTCTTGGTGGTTTAAAAGAATTGAGATTTTATTTGAGACTATATCTAAATGATTTAGAAATACTTTTTTTGCATAATCAGACTTTAGTTTTTGATCGTGATTAATTATGTTTCCTGAAGAAAGCTACTATCATTCAGGAATAATTCAGGCACTTTTCTGTTCAAGATCACTGAATGTGAGTGCGAATTGGTATTCCGCGTTGTTAAAGAGGAACGTAGGCAAATCGCTAGAAGCATTATATGCTTACTTGAAGACCAAGAAAATAACAAATTAGGCACACACACACACACACACACACACACACACATATATACAAAAACAAAAAACAATGCAAAAAAAAAAAGAACATTAAAAAATAGTCACAGCAACAATAAACGGACATTGAAAACTGAGAAGATCTGTGATTACACAGGAAATAAACACAATATTAGTTACAAACAAAAAAATGTATAAAATAGTAAACGTACTGTTCAAGTATACTATCAAAGTTGTCAAGTAGGAACGTAGATACGGTAACAAAGAACGTTTCATTTTGCCCAACAGTTGAAGATTTATGTCCACGAAGAAACAAAAATAGATTTTCCTTTTGAGTTCTAAAAGAGACCTCATCTCCCTGCAATAGTTCATTTTAAAGGGGCGGGTAACTTCCATTCTGAAACGGGAACCTGAAAAACTAAATGTATAGGGGAATTGGGGGCACCGCAGGTGTAGTGAGATGTATCAACTGTATTTTTGGATAGTAAAGCAAAGTCCCTTGTTTAGTAATGTGGCACTAAATACCATGTTTTCACATTATCTAAGTGGAATATTTAGTGTTTTCAATGACGAGATTGCATATAACACTTGAATTATTAATTAAAAATTATTTGGAAATTATATCATTGACTTTAGTGGTCAATCAAAACGGTCAGGTTCACTCGACGATATATTTTTGTACAAAGTAGAGTTGAGTATCTGGATGGAGTTTACATTTTATTTAATAGTTTTTGCAAGTATTGTGAACATGACATTTGTCCTATCATACTGTGCTCATGTGATAAGTTTACAACCAATAAATGCAACTGCACTTTTTCCATATAGTTTCTTTATTGGATACACGTCATTATATACTTAAGCAATTGCGCACAGGGCGATAATCAAATTGATGAACAACAGTGAGGGAGCTCAGGTAAATAAACAATATAGGTACAAAGTCTTTACATCAATGATTTAATCAGCGTTATAAAGACATCACGTTTTCACAAATCATTAAAGGATTGCAATTCATTATTTTCTAGCAGAGGCAAACACACCTGTAACCACTTCATTTGCAACGCATTAAGACAAAAAACTTATTTGAATTCGACACAGACGTCATATTCTTTCCGCAGAATCTATTATTATGATTTCTGTTTTCTGAAATACATTTTTTGAAATATTCATTTGTATGCACAATGGCTGTCCTTAGAACATAGGTAAAATATATTATCATTAACATCTAAATCGCATGCATTTACACATATGCAACTTGGGTTAAGACACAGTCTGTATCAACCCCAAAATAAGCAAATGAGAAAGAAACGGATACTTAAAACACAACTCCCTTTTTAAAGATTTAATAAACCCAATATTAAAAGGCAAATACAAATTCGTAGAATAAGTACAAATGGTATAAAGGTGTTCTATGAGGCCGTCACAGCTGCGTACTCCACTCTACCTTCGCTGGGGTATACGCTTAACGTTTATGACTTAGCTGATCATCTTCCTTTAAAACTAGACTGTCAAATTGGCACAGTGGAGGTTCTCTACGTTCCTCTCAAGGGGCTGGAAATAATCACATTAGTCATGGTCATTATAAACACATTGAACACATCCATATTGATAAGAATCTCGAAGGTGAACATTTGAATTTTTACTAGATTGCAGGAATATGTATGATAAATATACTGAATAACACTAATTTTTTGTACATTCCTTTGATTTTATACCTCCATATTAATACAATAAACAGTCCTACTCACGACATTAGCTCTGTAATGGTATTTTCTCCGAGAAATATAAAATAAAGAAACTGAAATATAAAATAAAGAAACTGCATGCAGTAACAAAAAATCTGCCATTCAATATGTGGTGCATTATTCTTTAAACCTGAAATTAAGCGACAATCTCAATAGACATTTTGACACATTACGTACCCGGTAGACTCTACAACACCAAGGATTTCCTACTAACCTGATGTGGATTTCCTTTAGCTTTTCAATTTTACACAGACGAAAGCGACGATGATGATAATCGATAGTAAACCTCCCAAGCTACTGAGAACAACAACAATAACTATCAAGCCGGTGCTTGTCAGACCCTTTGGACTACTTTCATTAATGGCTGAAATGGAAAAAAATGATTTTCACCAAACAATAAAAAACATCTTACTCTTCGCTATCTTGTTGTCATCTCGGTGTACATGTACAACACTTACAACATCAATTTGACACATGATCCGAAAATCTTATTTTATTTTAAAACAATGAAAATAACAATGTTATCGCGTGTCATAAATTTTCAATTTTCAGTTTTGGCAGTGTCTAAGATGACAAAATGTAATCCCAGTGAAAAAAAGTTTAACTGCTTAATGAAAAGTATCATATCCGGTTCTTGCCTAATCAAATTCCCCCCGATTAAAGCATTTCGCCAATTCGTCAAGCATTTAATTTCCCCTCCCTGCACTTGGATTCTACGTTATATAGATGTACCATTTTTAATGAAATAATTTTTCATTGCAATAGAAAAAAAAAGCAAGTACATAATAAACTTTGGATTGGATTGGAAAAGGATATATTGACAACGAAACTGTAATTATGGTTCAATTTCAAATAAATACAATTATCCTTTAATCTTTTCTTTTTATCTTTCTTTTCATGTATTGGCTCCTTAAAGACATGAAATACGTCAATTATTATGTATATTTGAATTTGGTCCTTCTGATGGCTTACAGTGAATTGCATAAGCAGCAAATCTTAAGAAAGCAAAATTTCCCTTATGATAGGAGAACAAAGTGGATATTTACCGTTTATTATGCTGGCTTTAATACTTGTACTTGTGATAGTGACCCGTGACGTTGTAATTGGCGTTGTTAAAGTCTGCTGATCTGAAATGACAATAGGCGTCTTTTTTATGAAAAAGCACTTTTTTACAATAATGATACTGTACATGTATCAGCTATTTACGGCTGATATGATTTTCATATGCATTTTTTTCAAACGATGCATAAAAAAGACCGATAAATTTGAATAAGATGGCAGAATTTTACTGGCAAAATGTTTGCATGATTATATGGAAAAAGGTACACCAATATGTGTGGAATATTCAACTAGAGAAAACAGATAAAAGCACATCTTGGTTGTTTGAAAATTCAGATCGTAAATTCCCCCATTTGAGATCGTGGGGTTTTTTTAAACACAAACGCACTTTTTCAGCCACTACCACACACATACGCACACACACACACACATTTGCACGCACTCACACGTGTCAAGCGGTCATAAATACCGTTTACTAAAACATAAGTCCTTGTTAATGAGATTATCTCATCTTCCTCCCCTCGAATACCCATGGAACACGTGTAGTTTCCACTGTCAGATATGTTAGCCTTAGGAATATTTAGTTTAAAGTCCTGTGTTCCGCTTGTGTTGTTCACGTTGTCCAGAGTTATGCCTCTCCTAACACACTCCTCTGTCGTCCTATTAACATTTCCTGGCACAGCCGTGCACCAATGAACACCATCCTTAACCCAAGTAATTTCAAATCTCAAAGCTGACAAATTTCTGGACGTGCTGAAGTTGCACCACAGTGAAAATGGCTCCCCGGCGATGGTTTCCACAGTGACAACGGTATTGGTGGTTGGGGTGACCTCTTCACTCTGTGTTACAGTCTGGCTTATCACTGAAATGCCTAAATAACAAATCCACTCACATCACATATAGCATTAAGTATTAACAATCATCAGACAACGTTATTAATATAACAGCAAAATGGTTTCACCTAATGGCATTTGGAAACTAATTTCTTGTTCATGCTCATGTTATTACAAGATGAAGACCTGTTTGTAATATTTTACTCTATACCTACGCAGCATAAACAGCAAATCTTAAGACAGCAAAATTCCTATATGGTAAAAGAACAAAGCTTATAATCACCATTTATTGTGCTGGCTTCAATACTTGTACTTGTGATAGAGGTCCGTGACTTTGTATTTGGTGTTGTTAATGCCCGTTGATCTGAAATGACAATAGGCGTTTTTTTTCAAAAGCCCGATTTTTTTACAATAATGATACTGTACATGTATCCTCCATTTACAGCTGATATCCGACAAAATGGATAAGATGAATCTGTTGCAACTAAAATAATAATCACATTCATTTTTCAAACGATGCATAAAATAGACTGATCGATTTGAATTAGATGGCATAACTTTACTGGCAAAATGTTTGCATGATTATATGGAAAAAAGGCACACCAATAAATAATGTCAAACAAAACAACGAACGAACCCAGATACACTATCTACAGCATATATTCAGACCAATATGTACCATTACATTTATCACAGGAATGTTCAATGAAGACTATGCAGACTTAGCAATCTCGTCTTAAATACTTGCAGATATGTAGTGATAAGTCTCTTTTTTCTCCTTTTTGTAAACAAGCCTGACAACATCCAATCCAAATGGCATAAACATTAAAACATTTGAAATATGTGTGGAATATTCAACTAGAGAAAACATATAAAAGCACATCTTGGTTGTTTGAAAATTCAGTTTGTCAGTTGCACCATATGAGAGGTGTTTGAAAAAAAACAGTATCATGCTTTATTTTGTCATACAGAAATGCACTTTTTCACCCACTAGCACACACATACACTGTATGCACAAACACACACATAAACACACGCGCACGCGCGCACACATGTACAGCGGTCATAAATACCGTATACTAAAACATAAGTCCTTGTTAATGAGATAATCTCATCTTCCTCCCCTTGAATACCAATGGAACACGTATAGTTTCCACTGTCAGATATGTTCGCTGTTGGAATATTAAGTTGAAAGTTCTGTGTGCCGTTAGGCTCGTACACGTTGTCTAGAGTTATGCCTCTCCTAACACACTCCTCTGTCGTCCTATTTACATTTCCTGGCACAGCCGTGCACCACAGAACACCATCCTTCACCCATGTAATGTCAAATCTCAAAGCTGACAAATTTCTGGATGTGCTGAAGTTGCACCACAGTGAAAATGGCTCCCCGGCGATGGTTTCCACAGTGACAACGGTATTGGTGGTTGGGGTGACCTCTTCACTCTGTGTTACAGTCTGGCTTATCACTGAAATGCCCAAATAACAAAACCATCCACATAACATATAGCATCAAGTATTAACAATCATCAGACAACGCTATGGATATAACAGCAAAATTGTTTCACCTAATGGCATTTGGAAACTAATTTCTTGTCCATGTTCATATTTATTACAAGATGAAGGCCTGTTTGCAATTTTTTTACTCTATATCTTCCCAGCATATACAACATAACTTAAGAAAGGGAAATTTCCTATATGATAGGCGTACAAAGCTTATAATTACCGTTTATTGTGCTGGCTTTAATACTTGCATTTGTGATGGAGGCCTGTGACGTTGCAATTGGCGTTGTGAATGTCTGCTGATCTGAAATGACAATTGGCGTTTTTTTTTTTTATCAAAAAACACTTTTTTAAATAATTATACCGTACATGTTTCTGCTTTTTACAACTAATATCCGACAAGATGGGTAATATGAAACTGTTGTATTGAAATAATTTTCGAACAATGCATAAAAAAGACTGATCAGTTTGAATAAGATTGCAAAACGTGACTGGCAAAATGTTTGCATGATTTCATGCAAAAAAGGTACGCAAATAAATAATGTTTCACAAAACAACGAACGAACCAAGAAACAATATCGACAGCACATATTCAGGCCTATATGTATCGTAACATTTTGCACAGGGACGTTCAATATAAACTTTCCAGACTTGGCAATTTCATCTTAATTGCTAGTAGATATGTACTGATATGATTCTTTTTTCTCCATTTTGTAAAAAAGCCTGACGGCGTGCAATCAAAATGTCATAAATAATGATTATTTTTTTAATATGTATGTAATATTCAACTACAGACGAAATAGATAAAAGAACATTTTTGGTTGTCTAAAACTTCAGACTGTCGATTCCATCATGTGAGAGGTGTTAAAAAAATCAGTATCATGCTTTATTTGTTCACACACTAACACACAAATATAAATACACAATCACACACACACACACACACACAGAGAGAGAGAGAGAGAGAGAGAGAGAGAGAGAGAGAGAGAGAAACTCACTCACACATGAGAATACGGCTATAAATACCATTTACTAAAACAGTAGTCCTTGTTTGCGATATAATCTCATCTTCCTCGCCTTGAATACCCATGAAACACGTGTAGTTTCCACTGTCCGATATATTCGCCTTAGGAATATTGAGTTTAAAGTCCTGTGTTCCGCTTGTCTTGTACACGTTGTCTAGCGTTATTCCTCTCCTAACACATTCCTCTGTCGTCCCATTAACATTTCCTGGCACAGCCGTGCACCACGGAACACCATCCTTCACCCACGTAATGTCAAATCTCAAAGCTGACAAATTTCTGGATGTGCTGAAGTTGCACCACAGTGAAAATGGCTCCCCAGCGACGGTTACCACAGTGACAACTGTATTGGTGGTTGGGGTGACCTCATCACTCTGTGTTACAGTCTGGCTTATCACTGAAGTGCCCAAATAACAAAATAATCCACATTACATATAGCATTAAGTATTACAGGTATGTCAGCTTATCATAGAGTATTGGATGTAGGATTCAGTTCGGCAAGGGATGTGGAGGTTCTGGAAATATACATGATGACGAAATCCCAAAAATATAAATACCTACTGGGGTTAATGGCACACCAACTGCCTAACAAAATATACTGTAGTATAAAAATAAAAGAAATATACAAACACTTTCTGACATAATGGCTCAAAATTGCTCGTTTAAAACTAATAGGCTTACCCTCAGATGCAATATACATGCACATAGCTAGGAGAATTAACATCCAACCCATCGTCTGAAACTAACCATGTCAACATCAGATAATTGTCTGCATGGCCGCCTTAGATATCAAATACCAGAGTAGATAAGACTTGACCTACGACATTTGAATTCTGATAGGCAGAAAACTTTGCCTACTATTACAGGCCAACGCTGACGTTTAGTATGTTACTGAATTCAAGAAGACGTATGAGCATGGTGCATCCCCCCCCCCCCCAAAAAAAAAAAAAAGATGATAATCCAGGCTTGTTGGCATTACTCGTTCTCTGTTGATCACTCACTCTAGACATTAACGGCATCTCAGCCTCTCCAAAATACTGCGATCTTTATAATCTCTTTACTATTCGAAAAAAATCGTACTTTGGAGAAAGGAATTTTCGAGAGTAAGTATCAATTGCTTTCAGATTAAGCAAATGGGACTTCCGATAAATTTTACTAAAGATGCATTTTCAGAAGCGTCTTTGAATATACTATACACAATTGTGAGTATGTTTTTTCTGACTTTATTTAAACATCTCATTTAAGGTCATCTGGGCCGTGAGCTAACTGTCAACTTACGTCATTCTTGCAGTTAAACATTATTTAATTTATTTTATTTCAAATTGCATAGCAAGATTGATGCCGTTATTCTGATGCAAGTTGATCTTTGTAGTATTGCAATGACGTTGAAAGTATTAAAAAACACTTCCAACACTCACTTCATGAAAGTATAGCTGTGAGGGTTTTATCCCGTCACTCCGTACTTCATCAGTTACACTGATGTCAAGATACTGTGTATAGTGACTGGTCTAAGTGAGATCTGCTGTACTGTATATTACACTATCCCAGAAGTGAGACTGGCTATGTCTCCCTCCCCACGTCCTTGTCCAGTGATGGCCAGTGAGTCCAAATGTACATAGATTTCTTTACCCTTTGATTGAACCACGGGGGGGGGGGGGGGGGGAATCAAGATCCAAGATTTGTACACTATCTCAACTGAAGGAATGTTTGGTACCCCGACATTGATGTGTTAGTGTGCCACAAAACCTCAGGTGTGTTGGCACAGCTACATCTCCAATGTTCACTTACTCTGGCCATCGTGACATTTGGTTACAATTGCTGCGCCCGTGCTTTTTGCGAGATGTTTTGCATATTGACCGCTGATGTCAGTCGAGTTATAGACACAATCTCCAGACTCAAATTTTCGACATATTCTTTTTACCTGTACAAATTTGCTTTAAATGGGTCACATTGTGCACTTATCAGCGTATACCGTATACGGAATCTTAAATGGATTGATTTAAAAAGATGAATATGTGGATATTTCAGTGATTTGCTGTAGTCGATAACCAAATGTCATACAACGTTCCGCTGAACCATCTTCACTGTGGTGCGACTTCAGTACATCCATATTTTTTCGGCTGAGGGGTTTTAAAATTAAATGGTTTAAGGTTGGTATTTCATGGTGCACTGAGTAAATGGGGCAACAGAGGAGTGTGTTAGGGGAGGCATAAGTCTAGGCAACGTGTATGGTACTAGGTAATTAAATAGAAAAAACACACGAAATTTGCTGGATTATTTGACAATAACTGTGCAAGAGCGGCGGTGTCTCTTTAGAAATCGTGTCTTTTAACACACAGTGGCTGCTTACTAAAATCAGGATGTGTGATATAGACCCAAGCAATACAATAAGCCATGAAGAAAGTCTTTTAAGTTAAAACATGTGTGACCTTTTACAGCTAAAGTCGGCTTTCGAAGAAATCTGATGTCACTCCCACCATGGGTACGTTAAATTATTTTATTGATTTTTTTCTTGCTTATTATAGTTTACGCCTTCTCTGAATACTCTCTCTCACTCTCTATTTCTCTCTCTCTCTCTCTTGTAATATCAGAAAGGAGGGAACATAAATAAATCACTCAGGGGAATGAGATTAATTGAACCAGTGGACTGTTTTACAACGGCCGACTGTTTCATTGTTACTGCATAAGTGCATCAACTAAAATATTTTACTCACGTTGTTGAAGTACATCGTATAAATACACTAAACAGGATAAAGGTGAAAGTTTAGCCCAATAAAACATTGGGGATATATAATTGAAAATGTGTCTTATAAAACGTTGGCACTGCGAAAAGCAACACATGGATGATTATCTTAGTAGTTTTTTGTTAAAATAGTGAAAAAAGAACCTATTAAAAATGAGCTCTGCTCAACAGTTTTGGGGAGAAAGACGAAGCTTCGGACAGGGAAACTTTATGACCAGAATTCAGTTTATTTCATGGGTTACAGAGAACAAGGACAAGTGCATGGGGTATATATTACATAATGTACGGTAATTATGGCAATTAAGGGAAGGTCTCTGTTGTTCTTTCCCTTTTTAAGTTCCTTGCACGCGGCCTAACATTAAAAGAATTCAAATAGACCAAACGCGTGCTTCTTTTACACCCCATTTCCATAGATTTTTATATCGATCTATCCCTGTGGGGAGTCTCACTAGATTACTGTCAGATTGGCCGGCTTAAGCGTCTGTCCCGCCTACTAAAAGCTGTAAGGGGGTAATTAACTATGGTGCCCGCTCGGCTGACTGCAATTTAGCGTGAACCCCCAGGGAGTTAGGTCGATCTAAATCTTAATCTTTAGATCGATCTAAATCTCTGGGAAAGCACCCTTAGACCAAGTAACTTTCTGATAGAACAAGTGTTCATTCTTTTGTTCGTTTTCCAGTACATGTGATTTGTATTAAGTGGGGTTACGTATGATAAGATTGTTTACGATATTAATATTTGTTCTAAAACACTGTAGCTTTCTTTGTTACTATTATTATTATTTGTTCATCCTTTCTTCGGTTACTACATACGCTATGCGATAATTCTACTAATAAACTGTAACTGAAATCCCAAAAACAATTTTTTGTAACTTTTTCTTATTAAATTGTAAGTCGTTGGCTTTACTGCCAAGTTATTTTTCCCTTTCTTAATTTATTCATTTTCTATAATACTATATGCATGGATTTATAACAGTTCTTTATGACATAAAAATAGGCCTGGTGAATTGTTGACCATGCGCAAACAAATGGTATTTTGTTCAATTGCAGAAAATTAAATGAGATATCAACTGACACAGATTTAACCTATAGCTAACTCGTGATACTAAAAATTAGTGAACAAAAGGACAGTTCGCCACAGGAGAGAGTTTGTTTACACAAGTACTCCAGAGGGGCGTACCAACCTACTCGACAGGGGGATTAGGCCAGACACAATATTCCTCTTACAATCGTTAATCTACCCTGTATAATTATTACAGTCGTCTATTGTATTTTTAATACTAAATTTATAGTGTTATCTTCAACTGATACACGGAATAAATATACACATAATATTGACAGATACGGTAGGGCAACCGCCCAGTAATAAAACTTCCTTTATTTGTCTATCACAACACAGTGTCAAACCAGATATAGATTACCGAGGAAATGAAAGTCACTTTAAAAGCTTTTTTTCGGGATCAGCGTCTGGTCTTTATGACTTAAAAGTATTCCTACATCATAATATGCACTGCCTGATTAACTTACACAATAATGATTAACTTTCACAAGTGGAAAGATCTCTCATTAATATTAACACAAACAAGGCATCCGGCCCTGATAATATACCGAACTGGATTCTCAAAGACTTTGCTGGAGTTCCNGAACCATCTTTTACCTAACACTCGTGTCATAGAAAAGGACCTAAGGAATGTTTATAGATATGTTTTACCAAAATGTCGGACAAAAAGATATAGAAACACTTTTATCCCATACTGTTTATATACGTGTCAATGATCTAGGTCTATCCATTAACTTTTAGCTTTTGAAAATAACATAATTTTTAACCTCATTATTGGTTTTATAACTTAGAATTTATCTTAAAGCTCTATTTTAGTACTACATCTTTATACTTTTATACATATACATTCAATATATGTCTTATATATTGCAAAGAACACAATAAACCTTTATTATTACAATACACGAGATACTATACACCGGCCATACGTAAATTGTCATATGCTATAACTGATTCCAATACCCATTATGATGTCCTGTCATTTTTCTTGCATTTTTCACCTGTCAAAGCTGATCAAGTATATAAAATTACGTTATTCGACTATCTACCATGCAATGCGACATTGAGGTTTTCCAAATGTAGACAGGTGTAACAGTAAATAAAGTTTAACAGGAACCGAGGTTAGTAGGAATAGTAGTCCTAATGGAACTTTGGTACCTGGCTCGTTTTTATAATGGGTAGGACAAAAACCTATATAAGTATTAATAATATTTTTCAAACCCTCAAGGGTTCGACCACCCTTTCGACCAACGGTGTCTAATGAAATAATTATATTATACACACTTTATGAAAACATTCGTATACGTCGATCAATATTATGATTTGCCGCAAGTAATGTTTTTTAACCATTGTGATTTCCAACTCTACAAATAGGGTCTATTAATATTGTGATTTGGATGTTGGTGACTACTTAATGGGGTATACAAAATTAAGTCAAAGTCAATAACGGCGCATTATAAAATGCACTAAGTTCCATACCCTGAACCATAATTGCCGCGAGTAATGTCTTTTAACCGTTGTAATTTCAGCTCAACTAAGGTATATCAATATTTTGATTTGGATGTTAGGATAGTGATATTGAATTAGTCTGTCACCTATATGGGGAATACAAAACTCAATCAAAGTCAAAAACGGCACATTATAAATGCATTATGTTCGATAACCTGATCCTGCAGCAAATATTTATTTATTATTTTTTTACATTGTAATTTCCTACTCACCATAATCAGCCTCCTTAACCAACAATAAAAGACGATGGCATTTTAGATGGTGGCAGGCTATTGGATATCTGAAAATCAGTTTTTACTACGGTGTAAGCACGAAAGCACATTGAGACTGTGACAATGAGTTTTTCCTCCTCTATGGACACCAGGTGTGTGTCGCAATACAAACAATCGCGTATTGAAGTAAAACTCACGGGGTGAGAGACATGGTTGTTTTAAGATAGGCTGGTAAATAAGGACTCTAAAATAAATGATCAGAGATGGGTCTTGGGCATTCTTCAGGATTTACTGTAGAAATCGAAAATCAGACGCCACACGAATTGCATTTACGCGACTCTGATGCAATAGACCAAACAACAGGTGTGCTAACTAAAGTTGCTGCTTCTGTACAGCCAAGCACTATAGCCCAACAAGCGATAGAAGGTCATGGTTATGAACATGCAAGCCGCGGAGCACATGTGGAAAATATTCAATATGCCGTTCAGCCGTACCAAAGCAAAACATCGGATAACATATCGATACAGATCGAGAGTCAAAGCACTGCTGTGCAGAGTGTTTCACATGATGATCATACCGATTGGGTTTTTCGCCTAGAATTATGTGCCGCCTTTTACAAGAAAGATGCATTCTATGTCATGGAAATAATTAGCCCTGCCGGTGAAATTTGTGCAAGAGAAGTGTTTAGAAAGGATAATGCTTTGAAACACCGTCGTAAAAAAGACAAAAATTGTACCGTGGATCCAAAACCAGCCAGCGGTGACTGTCCCTTCGCAGTAGAGATGATAGTTAATCGGAATCCTCGTAGAAACTCTGGTTGGTGGAACGTACGTTTCATTGTAAGAGAACGCACGATGTAAGTAAGTACGTATACTCCTGGTTATTTGGATAAGAGATTTTATTTCTGAACTATACTGTATAATGTGTACTTATGTAGCAAATTAGTTTTGTGCTACTACATGTAGAAATTCGGACCGTTTGGTATTGCTCACGATCCACTTGTAACTCAGCTTGTTTCTCTCTTTAACATCAGTCTGGCGTGCAGGGAATTCGAAATTTCTTAAGATATATAACACTTAAACGTAAAAAATACCAGCTCTTTCATCAAAGCATTACTTGCGTAGTTAAAAAGTACTACTAATTTATATTTAAGAAAGCCTATTTGTAAAACGTTATTTTTGCAAAGTTTGATAAATGCATCAGGTAAAACTCCGCTTATTATATTAGGTGTATTGTAAAGTCAGCTTGCTTCGTAGAAAGACTACAATTTGCGTTCAGTGTATGGAAAGCGTGCAGGACAGCTACAGTACGTGAACTAAAGGACATCGCCAACGATTTGCACCTTCATCATCAAAACATTAGTATCGCCAGAATCATGGGTCATTCCACTTCAATATTTGCCGCAGTGCTTGGCGCTGCAGGGACTGCCGCTTCTATTTTAACAGCGGGCAAGCTTACGGTTTTACTAGCAGTCAGTGCAGCACTCGGAGCGAGTGGCAAGATAACAGTAAGTGGCAGCACCATCGCACACTCTGTTCTCTCAGCATCAGCACAAGCGGAGGCTAATGAGGTCTTACAAAAAGACCACAGTGCATTACGTGACATATTGGTACTGCTTGAGACTTTGAAACACATAAGCAAACAGGATGTAATGGAAATCAAACAACATTTTGAGGTACGAAACACTGCAAACATCCCCGAAAAATGTATCATATTATCTACCATGCACCATACTGGTAAAATTGGCTTCATTGTGGGTTCTAAAATTTTGTATAAACCAATCATGTCAGCACGGAAACTGGTCGAGGAACTAAATGCAATGGACACAGGACCCCGGTTGGCCACACCAGGAAACGAAAACTTGCCGCAGCTTTTATTAGAGGCGATGGGTATCAAGGTTCCAAGATACGTTTTAGATTCTGCCAGTGGAACAATTCCACTGGTGTTTTTGCCTCATGATATCTGGGGCCTTGTTGAGGCAGCTGCCATAGTGGCTAGTGACAGGGGGACTGAGATAACAGAGTTATTGCAAAGCACCGCAGAAGCTCTAGAGAAGGAAATACCAAGCCAACAAGATTTTGATATCCTAGTTAACAAGTTTATAAGCAATATTTAAAAAAATGTACATCTTTTCCCAACTTGGCTCAATCAGTTGTTACGTGCTCACTGAGCTGCGATGTTTTGACCGATATACTTTTATCTGGTTAAATGGATATGTGTAATTTTAAAAAATAATGTGGGGAGTGCTGTAGAAAAAGGTGGTAACAGCTGTTCGAGGTATATTGTGCTTCTAGAGCATGGCGTTTCACATTTTCATATTCATATACGGAATAAGACAATAGATAAGCCAAAAAACAGTTACTACTGCGTCTCTTGCATCTAACATTTTTCCATTTATATACCGTATTTTATACCGTAAAAATTCATTTTTGAATCATTTTTCATGACTGACAATTGAATAAATCTACATGTATGTGCGCATTTGAATACCAAGAATAGTTAAAGACAGAGAACTTCATCAGCTGTGTCTGTTTAAATGTAAACAGTGCAGTTCTTTTTTTCTGATCACGTTTGAAAATTCCCCGATGAAAATGACAACATAAAGAGTTTTTTTGCACTAGATCATGTTTAAGAATCGTATTTTCCTCTTCTTTGTCATGTTATAGAATCGTAAAATATCCAGAAAATAGGAAAACCTAATTATGAACTCTACTGTAGCTATTTATGTGTTGCCCGTGACTCATCATAATGAATCAAGTAAACGTTTAATAAAAATGGTATATATGTTTAAAAATTACTACTGGTCTTGTTCTTCATCGTTTTATACTCATATTCGATATGCATTTACTCTAGTCTCTAGTTGATATAGCATCAACCGTTATTGTTTACTCACGTCGATAGCAATCTCTTTGCATCAGCAATAAAGAAAAACTGGCATGGGGCCATTAAGAAGGAGCAGAGCGTGTTCATTGGACCGTCTAATTTGGCTGACAGCTAAGGATTACTTGCCTATTCCCATACCCTGTTATCATCAGTGACAACTGTATTGGTGGCTGGGGTGACCAGGGGCGGATCTATGGTTATTTGAAGGGGGTGCCCGCTGATGCGAAGCAAACCCTAACCACCCCCTTTGGCGTGGGGTCCGGAGCCCGCTGAAGGGTATTGGTATTTTAGAGGACACATGGTATCATTTGGTACGGTTTACAACTGTGATTCAGCTTATCAAATGTCTAATTTCAAGAGGGGATCTCATTGGTGTTTTCTTTGCAAAAATCGAAAGGAGATAGGGGTCAGAAACCCCCTGAGCCCCCTAAATCTATCTGTCACTGGCGACCTCTTCACTTCGTGTTACAGTCTGACTTATCACTGAAATGGGCAAATAACATATATATTCACATAACATATAGTATCAAGTATTTTGTCAGCTTGACATACGATATGTGTGAATTTTCACAAACAGTTGCATTGATATTACAAGCCTACACCCAGCGGGCACTCAACGTTGATTCAACATTGAAGATAGGTTGAGATGATGTTGATCCATCAATATTGATAGATCAACAAGATCTCAACATTGAATCAACCTTTTCTTGTCAACCAATTGTCAATGTTGATAAATCAACAGGGTCTCAACATTGATTTAACCTTTCTTTGTCAATCAATTTTCAATGTTGATAGATCAACAGGATTTCAACATTGAATCAACCTTTTCTTGTCAACCAATTGTCAATGTTGATAGATCAACAGGGTCTCAACATTGATTTTACCTTTCTTTGTCAATCAGTTTTCAATGTTGATAGATCAACAGGATTTCAACATTGAATCAACCTGTGTTTGTAAACCCTTTGTCAATGTTGACATATCAACTGGATCTCAACATTGGGCCAACCTTAACTTTATAACCTTAATCATAACCTTAATAATAGTTTTAAATGATTATCTCACTAGAGAGGTA